TCCATGGAAGCACAGCCATGGTTTGTCATGAAGACATCTCAGTTTTACTGCTCAAATGATAATGGAGGCTGTCAACAATAGAGCAAGATTGCATTACGAATCAGCACTCAGGACTTAATGCACATCACCTCAGAATAGTTTCCTCTTCTCCTTCTCCAAATGTGGTCTTTGCATTATTTGCATCAGAATAATTTATCCTGCTAGCTCTTCTTTGATCCCTGAATTCCCCCTTTTGTCCACTCTCCCCAGACCAAATGCATCAGAGGCAAAAATATCAACATATTAAGCAAGCACTACAAAAAGTTTAAGGAGCTCTGGTAGCGTAGTGATTATGAATCGGGCTGCTAACCTCAAGGTCAGCATTTTGAAACTACCAGCTGCTCCTGTAAAGATCTGCAGCCTTGGAAACCCTGTGCAGGGTCACTATGAGTCGGAACCAACATAAAGTTTGAGAGCCACAGAGAGTGATTTCTTGGGGCTGAGCCTGTTGAAAAATGTGTTTATAGTTCTGAATTTTCTTCTGCCAGGGGGCAGTGTTCCTGAAATACGACTAGATCCATAAACTGTGCTGGAAGGTAATTTCTTCAGTTTTTCTTATAGTTGTGGTTTTATTTTTCTTTCTACTTCTTTTTTTTTTAAACTTATTATTGTGATTTGGGTGGACATTTGCAGAGGACATTGGTTTTTCATCCAACAATTCATACAAATGTTGGTTGGTGACATTGGTGGCAATCCCCACATAGTAAAAGTGCTCTTTGCACTTCCTCCCTGGGTTTATCATTTTCATTTGTCTTCTCCTAGCCCTTCTGGTCTGAGCTTTTGTTGTTGTGGTTATGTGCTGTGGAGTTGGTTCCGACTCATAGTGACCCTGTACAGGGTTTCCGAGGCTGTAAGTCTTTATGGGAGCAGAAAGCCTCATCTTTCTTCCACGGAGCAACTGGTAGTTTCAAATTGCTGATCCTGAGGATAAGCAGCCCACTTCGTAAGCACTACGCTACCAGAGCTGAGCTTTACTCCTGGGCAAATGCTGCTCTTTTGACTTCATGTGGTCGACTGCTTTAAGGAGTGTGTCCCTCCCAGGTGTTAATGTTCCCCTCATAGGTCTGTATGATGTTTTGTTGAAAGTTGAGCCAAGGAGGTGAGTTCAATTTTAGACGTGAAGAGTGTAAAGGAGGCACTGTCTAAGGGATTCTACCCATGTCTGTCAGACAGATAAATCTGGTCTTTATCTATGATTCTGAGTCTTGTCCCACATTTGTCTCCCACTTTTCTAGGACCTTCTAATGTGATCCCTTTCAGAGCAGCTGGCAGTAGTAACTGGGCATCATCTAGTTCTTCAGATCTCAGGATTGTTGAGGCTTAGATTCCCATAGTCCATTAGTCCTTTGGGCACATTTTTTCCATGTATCTTTGATTATCTTTACTTTTCTTTGCTCTAGATGGGATGAGAACAATAGTTGTGTCTAAGGTGTCCACTCATAAGCTTTGAAGACCCCAGTCGTCACTCACCACGGTGATGTAGAGCACAGTCTTTGTGGACTAAGTCTCATCTGCCTTTCAATACCTCAGACAGTGTCTTGTGTACTGACCCAGTCACATGTGACCATATCAAAATCCTAAACACCATAGCAGGTGAACTTCTTTCTTTTTTTTTTTTTTTGGTAATAGAAGGCTTGGACTCCACTTCAGTTACTCTCTTCTTTCTTTCTGTGGTATAGATACATGTAATAAAATATTTGTTGTTTCAACAGTTTCTATCTGTATAGATCAGTAACATTAATTAGTTGCTTCACATCGTGTATACGCGTCATTATTAGTTGAGTGTTCATACCTACTTTTGTTTCCCTCCACTTGTTGTGCCATAGACTTGATTCCAACTCACAGCGACACCTTGTGGCTGAGTGGATCTTCTCCATAGGTGGTTGTCTTTATGGAGAAGATCACCAGGTCTTTTCTGCTGCTGCATTTGAACTGCTGACCTTTCAGTTAGCAGCCTAGTGCTTAATCATTGTGCCACTCGAGTTCCTTCAGCTTGAGATAATTAGGAATATATTTTGTAAAGAGCCCTGGTGGAGGCAGTAAGTTAAGCATTGGACTGCTAACCACAAGTTCAAACACACCAGCTGCTCCATGGGGAAAAATGGAAGCAACTTGCTCCCATAAAAATTGATAGTCTCAGAAATCCTAAGCAGTATTACACTTTCCTATAGGGTTCCTAGGAGTCCTGGTATGGCACTGTGGGTTAACGTGGCAAAATGCAAAGCTGTTTGAACTGCAAGGTTGGAACTGCAAGCTCACCAGCTGCTCCTTGGAAACCCTATATAGGGTCGCTATAGGTCGGAACCAACTTGATGGCATTTAACAACAACAACAACAACAAATAGGGTTCCTAAGAGTCTGGTTTGAATCAACTTAATGGCAGTATGCAGTGGTTTTTCGTTCTGTTTGGTTTTGGTGTTCTGTAGCTGATTTGCTGTTTGCATTAAAGACTTCGGGCATTCTCTTGACTGTTAATTTATGATATTATTTAGTAGTTTCTGCAGGAGCCTGAGTATAGTTAGATGTTGTGTGTGTTAATGGGTTCCTTATGCTCAATGTTGTTGTTAAGTGCCATGGAATTGGTTCGCACTCAGAGCGACCCTGTATAGAGTTTCTGAGGAGCAGCTGGTGAGCTTGAACAGCCAATCTTGCAGTTCAAACTGACTCTGTGGTCCAAATCAAAGTCTGGTGGTGCATGTAACAGAAATAGGAGCTGAGCTCAACCCTCCAAGATAGTAGTAACAAATGTTGTACAAAAGCCAATCACAGATCAACTTGGTAATGATATATTTTTGCCCTTCCCCTCCACACTACACAGTAGCATTATGTAAGAATGATGTTGTAGATGATATACAGTCAGCTTCAGAGCTCCAACTTTTTTTTTTAAAAAGGGGTCTTCATTGTCCTCAAGCTGGGTTTCCACAGTCAAATATCAGAGAGGCTGAAGTTTTCGGGCTTTGGCAGGGGTTGGAGAGCTTGAGAAGAAGGAAAGAGAAGACTGCTTTTCTAGGATATCCGGAGCATTGGGGTATAAAATGACATCCGAGGATTCCCTTGATAGTTTCCTTTTGGGTTTACATTTCTCCTTCTGTAATGGTAGGCTTGCATCTTGAAACTCAATATATAAACAGCAGAAAAATCTTCCATGGGGTTAACATCTTTTATAATCCTTGCTAAATAACCAACTCCAAATCATTTCAGTATGGTATATGACTTCTGTCTTAGGTAGAAAAAAAAAAAAAATCCACCAGCCTCCCATGGCTGCAAGAGTGTAATACTAACATTTTTTTAAAAAAGCCGCATAAAGTTTGACAGTGTATCTTTTTTTCCTTCAATTAGCTGTGACTAAAACTCTAGAGTATATAAGGAAACCCAGGCCCGCTGTCGTGTTTGATCTGAGGAGACGCACTGCCTCTGCTCTGTGATCTGTTGCAAGCTCACTCCTGTATCAGGTTAAGTAGACACGCATGCACCCGCCGGGAAGAATAATGGCCACAGGGCCTGGTAAGGGGAAACCACTAACCTCTCTTCAGTTGAATCCTAAAGGCAAATTATATTTAAACATCTTTAAACTTGGTTGTTGTTGAGTGCCATCGAGTCGGTTCTGACTCATAGTGACCCTGTATAGGGTTTCCAAGGAGCAGCTGCTGAGTTTGAACCGAGGACCTTGTGGTTCAAACTAAAGTTGCGGTCCAGTGCATTATCCTACAGCACCACACGAGGAATCTTTTCACTTTTCACATTCGTTGTTTTAAGTGCCGTTGAGTTGGTTCTGACCCATAGCGACCCTGTAGAGGGTTGGGTCCAACCCATACCTACTCTTTAGAGGGTTTCAGAGGAGTGGCTGGTGAGCTTGAACTGCTGACTTTGCAGTTCAAACGACTTAGCAGTCCAGTGCATTAACCCAGGACTGCCTTTTAAAAGTGTCACAGTTGGCAAGTTGCTTAGTGAAGAGAGGTTAAAAACAACAACAAACTTACAAAAGCCGCAGAGTATATGGCGTTTGGTGGCTACATGAGAATTGAGGTGGGGGAATGACTTGGGAGACAATTCTTGGAATCTGAACCCTCACTACCATTGGGATTCCCTTCCTAAATTCAATTGCTAATAGAGCTCCCCCCTCCCCCCTCCCGAAAGATCTCCCCTTCCCCCGAAAGCTGGCAGCATTTTTTTTGGGAAGAAGAGGCAGAAACTAAAGCTGTTTGTTCCCCTCCACACAGGGCAGGAGGACTTTCTGCTGCTTAGCTGCATTTCCCAGAAATTTGATAAAAGTTACTTCTCTAAAAACTCTTAACAACATGGGGAAAAATAATGCTATCTCTTGTGTTAGTTACAATCTTGGGCGATTTTATCGTGAGAAATTTTTTGAGGAGTCTGGAAGAGCTAAGAATGTGGCAAGAGGAACAGGGTCGTTTAAACTGCCAGAAAAGTGAATAATGAGAAAGTTGTTAGGTTTATGAATTAAAAAATTTTGCTGGTTTAAAAAAAAAAAAAAAAAAGTGGGAGGTTGACGGCATTGAATAACTACATTGTAAACCCTGAAGCTGGTTGCAACCTTTGTACAGCTTGGTTTCATTTTGATCTGGTAAAAGACATTTGGTTTCTTTTTTTAAATCCCCTGTTTTTTGTGAGGGAAGGAAAATGAGCGTGCACTGGTATTGGCCGCAGCTACATAGGAAAGCCTCACGTTGCCAGCGGAAACCACATCAAAGCGTCTGTGTGTTCGGGGAGGGCCCGATAAGGGGGTGGGGAGAAGGAGGCTGATGTTGCAGCCTCTTGGGCTCCGCGCTGCGATTTGTGAAAAGGCTGTGATGAAATCAAGCTGCGGACAAATCAGAGAAGCCTGTCAACCTCCCAGGTGGGATTACTTGTAGTTAATAGTCAGAACTCAAAGCCCCAAGCAGTGTATTCGGTGTAGGGAAGGAGAAAGCTGCAAAAGACTTTCCAAGAATCGTTTCGCGATGGCCGGGAGAAGCGCTTTCCAGACGCATCAGGTAGGGAGAATGGATGGAATGACAGGGGAAATGCTTGACCGTCGGGATCATTTTCGTAACGATTTTTAATTTTTAATTTTAAATGAAGACAGCACTTTACGATACATTTGCTTTAGTACTGTCTAGCTGGATTTGGGCAATGCTGCTGTGGTGCTGTAGGATAAGCACTGGACTGCTAACCACAAGGTCGGCGGTTCCAACCCATCAACCTCTCTTTGGAAACCCTATACAGGGTAGCTGTGAATCGGATCCGACTCGACAGCACTTAACAACAAGAAGAAGCTGGATTTGGGCTAAATACAATTATATGAAGGCAATTCAAGTGACTTCAACATTCAGCCTAATCCTGCAACTTTCCAAATGCAACATAAAGTGCTGTCGTCATTTAAAATAAGAAACTCAAAATCATTAAGAGATGCTACAAGGTAGTTCTAAACTGTGAGTGGAAATGGACTCTTGGGCACTGTGCAAGAATCACAAAAGCTGTCTGTGACCACTTGATCTCTTCTTTCGTTTAGGTGCTATCCCTGTTCACATTTGCCATTGGAGTCAATATCTGTTTAGGACACACAGTCAATAGGATCAAGAGAGCAGAAGAATGGGACGAAGGCCCTCCTACAGGTAAGCATAACAACTATTCCTATTTTAACTCTTTAGAATATTAAATGACAGATAATTCAGATAAATTCATGAAGAAATTAATCTTTAGGCTAATCTTACAGTGAAAACTAATTTGGCCCTAGATTTCTCTGGAATAAAGTGAGCTACGTGGGTAATTCAGGTGAGAGAATACAGTTTTCATCAAAGACTATGAATACTTTTTGATAATTGGTTATTTCAATTTTTGTACTCTGAAATTGATTTTAAGAGAAAGTAAAAGCTCTTATGAATAGATCTCTACTGGCGCTGTGAGTTAATGTGCCAGACTGCAAAGCTGTTTGAACTGCAAGGTCAGCGGTTCAAGCTCACCAGCTGCTCCTCGGAAACCCTATACAGGGTCTCTGTGGGTTAGAACCGACTGGATGGCACTTAACAACAACAACTGTCAAAATGCAAGTGATGAGAACAAGTATTAGTTTGATATTAGTGATATGTGAGTCTGATTGTGGCACTGTAGAATAAGCACTGTACTGATAACCACAAGGTCGGCGGTTCAAACCCACCAGCCACTCCTCAGAAACCCTATACAGGGTTACGATGAATTGGAGCAGATTTGACAGTACTGAGTAACTTGAGTCTGATTTTTGGCCATATGATAGGATGCAATATTTACCTCCAGAAAGTTCTGATCTCGGTAAAGGAGGAGTGGAAGTGAAAAGGGCAATGACCGTCTTTTTGAAATTTCAGAAAATCTGAACTTGATAAGATTAAGATTTCCCTGTGGTTGTGAAGTGCTGTTGAGTCGGTTCCGACTCATAGCCACACTTTATAGTGTTTCCAAGGAGTAGCCAGTAGGTGTAAATCGTCAACCTTGAGGTTAGCAGTCTAGTGCTTATCCTATTCTACAGATTTCCCTTGAATAGGAAAAATATTAAATAGAGGTAAGTGCTTAAGAGAGATTACAGGATGGACTTGGACACACTGTTTATTCTTTTGGTATAAAGAAAGTTACCGTAATTAAACTACTAGATCTGAAGTGAAAGTTTCCTTTCACAATGCTCTGAGCTCCACAAGCAATATGGGAATTCTTATAAAGGAGCTCCTTGTGCACATTGAGGGGACTTTGCCGACCAAGTCTTAAGTAATGACTTGGTTAATTTCCTGGAAATTGGAGCTGCTGATGGTTTTATGAATAAAAATTACATTTTAAGTAATAGGTACTCTAGGGAGCAATATTTTCCCGGACATGCAAGTATATTTATCCACCTTCCTGAACATTTTGTATTTCTCTACTTCTTGATGCGATTGCTAAGAAAGATTCTCACCTGTCTCTGTTCAACCAGAGGAGCTTTGATTAGTGATGCTACAGTCGTTGATGGAATACGAAGTCTTCCTTACGTCAGCTGGGCTTTGGAGTCATGCCAGTCCGTTTTGAAAGAATAATAATAGAAGTGGGTTAGTGAGTCGAAGTCGGGTGTGGTTAGAGAGTGGAGTGAGAAAATAAATCATAAAAACCTGTGGCCCCATGCAGCCCCATGGACAAAATGAATTGTTATCATTTTCCTTTTTAAAAAAGAAATCATATTTTATTGTGTTTAAGGTGAAATTTTGCATAGCAAATTAGGTTCCTCTTTAACAATTTTTATACAAATTGTTCCGTGCCATTGGTTACAATTTTTACAATGTGTCAGCATTCTCATTATTTCTATTCTGTTTATTCTGCTCCCATTGATCTAGCTTCCCTTCTCATCTCATCTTCGCTTTGGGTATTGTGGGATGTTTGGTCTCATGTAATTAAATTTAAGAAAGCACATTACTCATAGGTGGTATTGTTTATTTGGAAAGTCTGTATACTATTTAGCCGTGGTGTAGGACTGCAGGACAAGCACTGGACTACTAACTGCCAATCAGCAGTTCAAACCCACCAGCCACTCTCAGAAGCTCTATACAGGCTTGCTCTGAGTTGGAACCAACTCTGCAACACACAACAGCAACAACATTATAATATTTGGCTGAAATGCTTAGATTTCAAGTTCAAAGGATATCTTTGGATGGTAGTCTGAGGCGTTCCTCTAGTCTCTATTGGTCCAGTAGGTCTAGCTTTTCTAGGAAATTTAGTTTCATTCTGTATTTTCCTCCCATTCTCTCCAGGACCGTCTATTGTGCCCTTGATAGTAGTGATGGCTGGGCACTGTCTAGTTCTTCCGGCTTGAGGTTTGAAGAGGTTCACGTGGGCTGTTAGTTCTGTGGCTTTCCTTCATTGTCTTTTGGTCCATATGGAAACACTAATAATCATATTTTAGAGAGATGCTTGTGAGCTTTTAAGACCCTAGATGCTGCTACTCACCAAACAAAGATATAGAACAATATCTTTGTGAACTGTTGTATCAATTGAAAAGATGTTCCTCAAGATTATGGTCCGAAGCCTTTTTAGCCAGTAAACCAATCCAGTGAAGTTGTTCGGATAAGTCTGGGAAGCCTCTGTAACTGTGTCCCTACTTGTCTGTTATATTTGTGGATATATGTAGCACACACATATGCCACAGAGATAAATATGTATAAATGTGCATTAACTCATATATACCTTTCTATGCACATATGTTCATTCACACCTACCTATGTAACCACACACATGTTTTTTGCTTGGTTTTATTGTTGTTGCAAATTTATATATATAATAGCATTTACTGAAACTGTTCCCTTTTCTCATGTACTTCTTAGTGTCTTAATTGACCTTGGTCAAGTTGTGCTTACTTCAGCGGTATTTGGGATTGTCTTTCCCATAACCCAAAGTAGCAAAGGAGACCTGGTCTGGCACTGTGACTTAATGCCCCAGACTGCAAGTCAGTTTGAGCCGCAAGGTTGGAGGTTCAAGCTCATCAGCCACTCCTCGGAAACCCTATACAGGGTTGCTATGAGTCGTAACTGACTCAGTGGGACTTGGTGATGATGAAAGTAGCAAAAATCTAGAAATTGATTCTTTTTCACTCTGCTTCTCATCTGGTAATTATCAAAGAACTGTGCTTTCTGTTTATATATCTACTCTTGAGTTTTTATAATAGTGGGGCCATATAATATTTGCCTTTTTGTGATTGTCTATTGTACTCAGCATTATTCAGATTCACCCATGTTATAGGATGTCTGGAAGACTCCTCATTATTCATTATACTTGTGTAGTATTCCATTGTGTGTATGTACCACAATTTGCCTATCCATTCATCCATTGATGGATAGATAGTCTGTTCCCTTCTTTTGGCTATTGTGAATAATGTGGCAATGATCATAGATGTGCCTATGTCTGTTTGTGTCACTGTTTTTTCTATCTCTAGGATGTACACCCAGGCATGGGATTGCTGGCTGGATCATAAGGCCTTTCTATTTCTAGCTTCTTGAGGAAGTGTCATGTTGTTTTCAATCGTGTCTGTACCATTTTGCAATCTCATCCATAATATGTAAGATTTTTAATCCCCCTACAACCTCCGCAGTGTTTGTTGATTTTCTGTTTTCTCATTTTTTTTTTTTTTAAATCATTGTCATTTTTGTAGGGGTGAGATGGTCTCTCATGATAGTTTGATTTAAAATCAATTGAGAGAGAAGACAGAGGATCAGTGGGCTGGAAATCTTGTTTTTATTGGTAACAAATGCTGTCTTCAAAGATCTCTTCTTGTTGCAGACAAGTCTAACTCCCATTGACCTTGACCATGACTCCATGGACCTGTGTCAGATCCTAAGTGTGGTCATGTGGGAAAGCTAGCAGCTCACAGCCCACTGCTGGTGCTTCTCCATTCATCCTAAAAAAGAGCTGTTTTTCTGCTTTGTCTTCATATTATTTGTTGTTGCTGTAGAATTGCTCCTGACTCTTGATGACCCATGTGTGGAGGATATGCTAGGATCTTTGGAAGCACATCTCCAGGTCTGTCTTCCCAGGTATCTTTGGGTGGGTTTGAACAGCCAACCTTTCTGCTAGTAACCTAGCATTTAACCATTTGTGCCACCTGTTTTCTGTCTTAATATATTACTTCAGCTAAAACAGATATTTGGAAAATGAAATGTTGTTTAATGAATGTTGAAAGCGGAGCCACTCGTCATTTTCAAAGTTAACTTTATTAGAAAATAATTAGAAATGTTCTAGACTGGTATCAGGTGAATTCCAGTCTCCTGAATCCCTGTAACTTGCCCTGTAACTGTGGTCTTTGACTGGCCACTTGTAAAATCTGTGTCTTTAGTACTAAGAGGGGAAGGCCAAAATGATTGTTATTTTTTCTTTGGAATTAAAAAAAAAGAGTCTTTTCTGTGTCATTACCTCTTGATTTTTCACATTATTTGAGACCTTGAAAAGTCTAGAACTGTTTTATTAATCCTTAAAGATACTTTGTTGATAATAGTTTCCCACATATTATATTATATTCATGTGATAAACATTTGTAAGAACTAATGAATCAGTTCTGCTTTTAGAAAAAGAACACTGAAACAAATTGCCATAAAATCTAAGTGATGATGAGCGTACTCTAAAATATTAGCTGCTTGTGTTATTTAATTAAACCTTTGATTTGCTTAGGCCTTTGTGGTATATTTTTGTATAATATATTATAAATGCATACCTAAGTGAAAATTAGTCTTATAGAACAACACGGCTTGATTCTGAGTTTTAGGCTTTTGGTAAGCTTGCACAACCTTTTCAAAATTTTTAATTTTTCATTTGATGCCACTTACCCTGCTATTTGAACACTGAAATTGATTTCTCGGGAAAAAGGGTCACAGATGTATTTTGGAAAATGGTGAGAACCTAGTGTTTTAAACCTTTATTATTTTTAATGCTACAAGTGGCTTGAACGATGCTTAGGCAAATGACACATTTGATTGGTTATCCTGATTGTTGGAAAAACATTAGCATCAGAGAGCGTTGAGTGAACTATTAGAAGGTACACAGAGGAAAAGTAGCTTTAGAGATATCCTGGGAAGCTTAATGTTTCAAGATTGTTTCAACACAGAAGAAGCACAAAAGATATTAATAAACTGAC